TTTCGTTTCGCTAAATTTCTAGTGTTTCGTCTCGTTTCGTTAACGAAACGATTTTTAGAAAATTTTGTTTCGTTTCGTTTCGTCTGAAAAAATTTTGGAGTTTCGTACAGGTATGCTCGGAATGCTTCATAGAAAAAGAATATGTGATTGTGGACAGAAATGCGGGTAATTTCAAACCTTGTCCCCTCCCCATTATTTTTATTACCTAAGATTGTACAAAATGGTCAGATTTCCTCCTTCCTCTCTTTCCTCTATTTAAGCTTGGCATATTCAAACAAGACATTGTTGATAAAGAGAAGATTAATTGAGTTGTTCAATATTGAGTTCATTTTATTTTTTCAGTTGTTCAATATTTTTAAATATAAGTAAGAATGTAATGTTTTTACACAGAAATTCATAATGTTATGTATACACCAAATCAATTTTATTTAATTCTTTTTTGGTTTAAATTGTTTTCGAAGGCAAAAAATAAGTGTATGACTATGTATAAAATTAATCTTCTCTTTATCAATGTCACTTGTTTGAATATGCCACAGAGCAAATAGAGGAAGGAGAGGAAGAAGAAAATCTGACCTTTATGTACAATCTTAGGTAAGAAAAATAATAGGGGGAGGACCTTTGACAGTTAGTTACTACAAGTAAAACATTTAAAAGAAAGGAAAAGTCCGCAAAACAAGTCCGCAGAAAAAGCACCTTTTTCTTCAGTAGTGCCAAAATATTAACTAACCGCATAAACGCAACTCAGATTATTAAATCTAATTGTTAAATCACCAAATTTTTTGTCAATCAAATCATTTGCCTTTTTTAAATGTACATAAAAATTTTTAAAAATTTTTATTTAAAATTTTACCTTTCTAATTTCCTCTTTCAAAAAATTAATCTTCTCATCACTTTCAGATTTCAATTTTTGATTATTTTCTTCAATTAATTTTAGAAAATTTTGTTTTAAATTTTTAATTTCATTTTCATGTTCAAAGTTTATTTCTTGGATTTTCTAAAAATGATAGAAAAAATATATCATAGACAAGAAATCAAAAAATAAAAAATTTGCCTTTTCATGTTTTAAATCACTGATTTCCAAAGATTGTTCATTAATTTTCAGTTTTAACTAAAATATAAATTTATTTTTAAAATACAGTCGGATTTCACGAATACGACAAATTCATACATAGAAACTTGACGGTAAATTAAAAATGTCGTACAATTGAAATCCACTTCTAGTAATTTAAAAACAATAATTTCTAACCTCTAACTTCTCCAAACGTTGTTTAAAATTTTCAATCATATTTTGTGATAAACAACAAGAAGCACAAGAATTGGATTCTAAAATTTCATCCCGAACATTACTATAACTTTCTTCTTCTACAAGTGTTTCATCTCCAATTTTATTTTTAATATTATCAGAATTGTTTGCAGAAAAAGACCATTCTTCTAATAATTGTTTTGGTGTTTTCATTTTTTAAAAATAAGCTTCTGAAAATTAATTATTAAATTGTTTTGGTTGTTCAATATTCAAAAATTCATTTCAAATAATAACGAGTCACTCAGCTTAAAAATTCCTCCGGAGTGGGGAAAAGTGTTGTAAAAGTCTGTTCATCCCCTCTTCAATTTATTTTCAAATTATTCCCTCAAAATATTTTTTTCCTTTTTTACTTTATTTATCAATTTTTACTACATTTCCCCAGAATATTATTTGAATTTATTCCTCTTTATATTTTTTTATTTTAACCTTCCATTGACCTAAATTTGTAAACTTGTACATATTCAACTTCTCCCGCCCTTCATATCACTCATATAAATATTTGCTTTTTCATAATTTGTCTTATTTAGATTATTTTGAGTTTATTTTTTTAAATAAATGTTTAATTTGTTAGAGTTTGTTTAATTAAATACTTATTAATTGCGAGAGTTTAATTTAAATATTCTATAGGAGATTAATAGAATAATATGTTTGAATGAAAGGGACAAGTGGATGTTACAAATCCGGATCTAACTAAATAAATTTTTTGGAGAGAATTTATGTGATTATTATTCTCCGTATTTTTTGTGTTAGAATCGAAAAACTTTCTGATTTAGAATATGAATTTATGTAAATTAAAAGCTTTTTATTTTTGTCCAAATTTTCTGAATAAATTTTAATTAAAAACAATCTAAAAGTTCTAATTAATTTTAGGAGATAATTTTTAAAAATAAATAATGAAAACACCAAAACAAATAGAAGAATGGTCATTCTCCACTATCAATTCTGACAATGTTGAGAATGATTCAGATAAAATTGTAGATGAAACACTTGTAGAAGAAGAATATTTAAAAGATTTAAAAGACATTTTGGAAGAAGAAGATGATAATCTTACAGAAAAAAGTTTTAGTAATATTTTGGAAACATCAAGCATTGATGGTTTGTCTACTACTTGTAGTTCTTTTTGTTCAGCACAGAGTGTGAATGACAGTTTAAAACGACGTATTGAGAAATTAAAGGTTAGAAATTTTTTGAGTCCGATCTTAATGTAAGACACTTTACATGTAAAATACTGGACATTGGAAATAGATTTTCTCTTTACCCGAAAGATGAAAAATGATGTCTGACCAATGTATGGTCACTTGTAACAAAATTCTTAATTGCTTTTATCGATGAATAAGAGTACGAGTAAAAACCAAGTTTGCAAGACTAATTAAGTGCAAAAATTGAATACAATAATATAATTTGTCTATTATTAATACAGCTAATATTTTACATGTATTAATTCTTACTGTCCATATTATTAGCCTGTAATATTATCTCAACATAAGTACTAACATGTACAAATATTGGTACAAGTGTCCAAGCACTGGGTCCTACCCGTTTTAGTGTTCAGTTTTTTCTGCATGAAGGTGTCGTGCTACAAGTGTGATCTAACTTAATTTGCATAAATTTAGTTATTAATTTATATTCTAGAATAAAATGACAAGCAAAAATTTGTCGCTGGAAAAGCGTGATTTTGATCTTGAAAAGGCAAGTTTTGTTATAATTTTTCCATTTCTTGTTTACTCGAAACTAGCCGAAATTCCAAAATTTTAATTAATTTACTGGTATCTGTTATTTAGTAAAATTTTTCAAGTATAGTAAAAACTGCATATTTATTATATTTGCTTCAAAAAGTCACTAAATTCAATCTCTTTTCAGGGAATCCAAAAACTCGGTTCTCAACATGAAAAAGACATTAAAAATTTAAAACAAAATTTTCTAAAATTAATTGAAGAAAATAATAAAAAATTAAAATCTGAAAACGATATTTCTTTGAAGCAAAAAGACGAGAAAATTAATTTTTTGGAAGAAGAAATTATAAAGGTAAACAAATAAAATTATTAGAACTATACGTTTTAAGAGAAATGTTTGGGAAAATTAATTTAGGATATGACCTCTGAAAATTATAAAATTCTGATAAAATCATGTCCTTAATGTATATTTTTTATTTCGTTTCGTTCAAAAATTTTCACTTTAATTCTAAACCAATTAAAGTGGGCTAAGTCAGTTTAATATACATATAATACCAAATAAAATAGTTTTATATGTTTTAGAAAATTCAAAAAATAAATTGTGACAATGAAATTAAAATTGAAGAAACAAAACAAAATTTTCAACAACTAATTAATGATAAATTTGAACAATTAATTAAAGAAAATAATCAGAAAGACGAAAAAATAAATTCTCTGGAGGAACAAATTAAAAAGGTAATTATAAATTATTTTTTGGTACTCGTTGCTTATCGCTAGTACGCTTATCATGTTCGCTATAATAGGTAATTTGGGAGCAATTTCTTCATAGATAAACTCCATTAAAGTGGATCTTTTTCTATCAAAAACATTTTAATCTGTTCCTTCGTTTACCTATTTTTTTAGGAAATCCATGAACTCAATTCTAAGCATGAAAATAAAATTGAAGAAATTAAACAAAATGGTAATATTGAACGTGACAGACCCCCTTTTTTCCTCCCCAAGTTTTCCCCCTATATTTTTACAGAATGGTCAGACTTTTTCCTTTCTCCCATCCCAATTGCCTTTCTATATTTGCCAGCAATCAAGTACTCCTCCTTTTTATAATCCTTTTTGTTTGTTTGCAGGCAAAAATTAGAAAGGCAAATTGGATGGAAGAAAGGAAAAAGTCTGACCATTTCTAAAAAATATGGGCTAAAAATTGGGGAGGAAAAAAGGGGGTCTGTCACGTTCAAAATTACCAACAAAATTTCCAACAATTAATTGAAGAGAATATTCAACAATTAAAAGCTGAAAACGATATTTCTTTACAGCAAAAGGAAGTGAAAATAAATTCTTTGGAGAATGAAATTAAAGAGGTAAATTAAATTGGTTTTTTGCAAAAATACATAGTCTCATTGGCACGGGATTTTGTGCCATAATTTGTTTTGTTAATTTAAAGAAAATTCAATGTTACATTACCGAACTCATTACCAGTAACTTTTTGATAACTTTTTGTTTTGCTAAATTTTCGTATCTCCGTTTCTTGTAATGGGAGATAGCTTTTTTTACATGACTTGCTCTAATTTTCGTTTAATTAGGGGTATTTGTAATTTGAGACAAAAAGTTGAGACAAAAAAAAATTTGAGACAAATTTTATTTTAATTAAGTGTTTTTTTATTTTTTTCGTTTGAATTAAATACAAACGTAAGGAATTTTCAGGAGAACCAAGAAATCAAATTGATCTTAAAAAGAATTAAAATTTTTTAACAATTTTAGAAAATTCAAGGAATAAATGCTGATAATGAAAATAAAATTGGAAAAATAAAGTCAGAACATGAAAATGAAATTAAAGTTTTAAAACAAAATATTCAACAATTAAGAACTGGAAATGATCAGAAAGAACAAAAAATTAGTTCTTTGGAAGGACAAATTAGAAGGGTAAATAATTAAATTACGTATTAAAAATACTTTTAAATTAATTTATTTAAAAGGCAAATGATTTATCTCAAAACAAAATCTCTGATTTAACAATTAAATTTAATAATATGTGTTGTAAATTTGTGGTTAGTTTGTAATTAAATATAAAAATTAAATAATTTTTTAAAAGAATTTTGTTGGAATTAAAAATAAATGGAAAGAAATTGATAGTGGAAGGAGTAAATGTTGTTCTAAAAATTGTATAAATACAAACAACCCTATTGGTAATTGTATTAGAGGATATGGATTTGGAAATTTAATTAATGATGAAAATATTAAATATTTGGTGGGGGATGGAGGTAAATTATTTTGAATTTTTGGAATTTTTTAAAAATATTTTTAGTTTATGATAATGATGTTCTTGTTTATGCTGAAAATCCATTTAAAAAGCCACAAAAGTCTTTTAATTATTCTTTACATTATTTTGAAATTAAATGTAAATTTGAAAAAGAATTAAATGGTAGCAAATCAATTATTAATATTGGGCTTAGAAATTGTAGTACAGACTATAATTATATTTGTTATGAAACCAAATATGGTATAATATATAGGGCACGATCATTTAAACTTTCCACGTTCTCTTGGAATAATAATGATATTTTTGGGTGTGGATTAGTTTATCCTCCAACTAATAAATTAAATGAAGAATTTCCTTATGTTTTCTTTACTCAAAATGGAAGACAAATTGGTAAATTTGTATTTAATTACATTATTATCACAAAATTATTCCTTAAGGTAAAGCTGTATTGCTAAAAGAGAATAATGACTTATACAAACCTTATGTTTGGCTAGGATGTTGTTCTGCTGAAGCTAATTTTGGAAATGATTTGGAATCTAAACCATTTAAATATGACGTCTCAAATCATTTAATACTTAAAGAATTTTTTTGATTAATTTTATTTTATGATTACTTTTCACCAATTTAAATTATCAATCTTTTAATTATTTCTTTTAAACTTATAGATAAAACGGCCATTTATATTTCATTTTTATAGTTTTAAAAATAAATTTACTTTCTCTCCATAATGATGTGCTTACATAAAAATCGCGCGCGTTTTGCGACAAAAAAGATAATGGAAATAGTTCTCAAAATTGTCTCTCCTCATTTTGAGTACTAATTATTTTCTGTCGCAAAACGCAAAGCGACTTGTGTAGGCACAGCATAAAATTTAAATTTTGTTTAAGAAAATTATCATAATTTTTTTCATAAATTTAACTTTTACTTATTTTAACAAAATTCCATAAAACAATAATTTGTATGTTTCAAATTTTTGTTTTAGAATGACTTTTTTTAAATTTATTTTTAAATTAAAAAGAGATATTATCAATTTAATTAAGGATATATTTTAACAAATCCTGATTAGTTTATTTAAAAATTATTTAAAAATCTTGCTAATTTATTAAGTTTTTCTTTAAATCATCGAAAGAATTAAAATAAATTTTTTAAACTTCATTATCCCTTTTTTCTTCTCTCCCAAAATTTTTTTTCAAAATTTCTTTAATTCAGAATTTTTATTGATTTTGCATTTGGGGTTTTTTTGTATTGTCTTTAAAATTTTATCATTTCCCTTATTTCTCGCTTCTAAAATTTACTCAATTAATTCCATATCAAAAAATATTTCTTTCAAAAACATGTAGTTAATTGAGAATAATAAGGGGGAATTACAAAACTTTAAAAAAGTTTAAATTTCTTTTTACTATTTTTTCTTTTTTAGAATCATCACTTACTAGAATTTAAAAATTCAAATTGTCAACAAATTTTTAATTTCTTTTATAAAACAAAAAGTAAAATGTAATAATTATTGTGTTTAAAAACAGATCTTTAAGAATATTGACGTTGAGTATTTAAAAAATTGAATAATAAAAAAATTGTGGTCTAAAAAGTATAATTTAAATTTTTTTACATAATAATACGTATTTAAATTGTTTTTAATAAAAAATGATTTTTGTCTTTATATCTTTCACAAAATATTTATGTTCAAATCAATCAACATCAGAGTCTTCATAAAATTCTTTAAGCACAAAATGTTTTGTAATGGGCTCCCGGACAATCCGTCAGTGGACAGTCCGTCAGTGGAAAATCCGTCAGTGGACAATGCGTCAGTGGTCGGACAATCCGTCAGTGCACAATCCGTCAGTGAACAAATTCGTAATTTTTACCTCTATCCAACATACAGCTCCCAAAAATTTTCATTTTTTCGTGTTGGGGTTTATAAGTGATATCGAAAATTTTGAAAGTAATGAGGAACTCGGCAAATTTCGCTCGATTAAAAGAGTCTGGATTTGTGAAAATTGGGCAATTTGGTTGAATTAAGCGAATATCGATGGATTTAGAAAGATATCGGGGATTTGGATGGATTAGATTTAGTGATTATCGGATGGGATTAATGTTGGATTTGGTTTAAAATTGCGGGATTATGGGAATTCGATGAATAATAAAGACTGTTTTTAGCTGAATATCTTGGAACCACCTGCAAATCCTCTTGATCCTTCTAAATAGTTTGATATCCCACTTAATCCATGAAATCCCTCTTAATCTATCAAATTCCTCGCTAACCATCATAATACTTCAAATCTATTATATTTCCCTAATTCCACGATATCCTTTGAAATCCCCGATATCTCCAAATCCACTGATCTCTTTTAATCCAGCCAAGTTTGCCGATTTCCTGATTAATTTCGAAATTTTCGATATTTCTTATAAACCCCAACACGAAAAAATGAAAATTTTTGGGAGCTGTATGTTGGATAGAGGTAAAAATTACGAATTTGTTCACTGACGGATTGTGCACTGACGGATTGTCCGACCACTGACGCATTGTCCACTGACGGATTTTCCACTGCCGGATTGACCACTGACGGATTGTCCGGTCACGTTTGTAATGTCATAACAAAAAGGCTTAATTTCCAAATTATTTCCAAAATTAGCTTCTACTGAACAACATCTTAACCATTCAACCGGTTTGGAAGTGGCAAAATTTTCGGTATGGAAGAATTCATTGTCATAGTTGCCAAAGTCTTTCAGTCTAACAAATGGATATGAGACGAAATTGTCTTTTATTAGTATACCTTTGCCTTTAAAAAAGAGTTATTTTAAAGATATTTGAAATATTTACCAATTTGTTTTCCATTTTGTGTGAATGGAAAACAAATTGGTAAATTATTTGGAGGATAAACTATTCCACAACCAAAAATATCGTTATTATTGAAAACTGATGAAATTTTAAATGATTTATATTTCTCATTCATAATTCTAGCATTTTTTGCAGAATACCAAAATGCTTATCTGTGCTCAAACCTCCAAGACCGACATATATCCAATCTACAAGTTTAGAATATTCTCCTTCAAATTTACATTTAATTTCAAAATAATATAAAGAATAATTAAAATAATCTTGCGGGTTTTTGAATGAATTTTCTGCATAAACAAAAATAACTCCATTGGAATCTGCAAAAGTCAAAAAAATTAAAATCCAAAAATCCAATAATTTATCACATTTCCCCGCTACATAATTAACATTTTCATAATTTATATTGAAAAATGCATTTCCCTTAACACAAACAGGGTTTTTCGAATTACAACAATACTTGTAGCAACATCTATCAACAGTATCACTCCATTTATTTTTAGTAGTCTCGTCAGAGGTTAGTAGTCTCGTCAGAGGTTAGTTTCGTCAGAAAACATTTTCGTCAGAATTAGTTTCGTCAGAGGTCCCTTTCGTCAGAGACATTTTCGTCAGAGGGTTGTTTCGTCAGTGATGAGTTTCGTCAGAGATTCTTTTCGTCAGTAAGGCCCCCTTTTTATAAATACTAATTAATCTCCGGTATTATGAATTGTACTAGGTTATTTGTTTTTGAATCGATTTGGGCCAATGAGGTGTCATTCGAAAGGACTCTGAAAAGCTGATTTTTGAGCTGAAAAATTCGAGTTAACAAATAATAACTCATTAAGATAAGAATAGCACCCTTATCTTCAGTAGTACCAATTAATTAAATACAGCGCCGTGTTATAAAATTTAAATCTAATTTTAGAAAATAGAAACAATAAATTTTGATCATGAAAATGAAATTCAAGAAATAAAGCAAGATTTTCAACAATTATTTGAAGAAAATGTTAAACAATTAAAAGCTGAAAAGGATGTTTCTTTAAAGCAAAAAGATGAACAAATAAATTGTTTAGAGGAAGAAATTAATAAGGTAATTAATTAAACTAGTTCTTACTATAAACTAAATAACATTTTCTGATTTGAAATTAAAAGTAAATTTTATTAAATATACATAATTTTAAATAAAAAATTCTTTTTAAAGTTGCATAATCAAAGCGATGATTTAATTAAACTTCAAACTAATTTTAATAATCTTCAATTAAAATTTAATGAAGAGAAGGAGAAGAATGTAAATTTAGAAGATGAATTAAAAGTTTGGATTTTTTTGAATATTTTTTGAATTTAATTTTAGAAAATTCAAAAGATAAATTTTGAACATAAAAATGATATTCAAGAAATGAAGCAAAATTTTCAAAAATTAATTGAGGAAAATATTAAACAATTAAAAGATGAAAATGTTCGAAAAGATGAGAAAATTAATTGTTTGGAAGTTGAAATTAAAAAGGTAAATAATTAATTCGGTACTAACAAAGTCAAGATTGCCAAATACCCAGAAATTATTTTTGGTTCAAAATATAATTTAGGTAAATTACTTATATATAGTATTTTACTATAATTTTATCCAATTTTTCATTTGCCTTAATTATTTTTAGTTTTGGGGTGACTCGACGGTTCCTTTACAAAATTTCAAATCTTTAAAATATTGCACGTCCAAAATGTAATAATCGTATAAGTTTTCGGGCGAAAAAAGACCGGGTTTCGGCTCTCGAGTTTCGAATGACCCGTCCAATCACTGATGTATATGAATTTTGGTATCCATATCCGGCGGATATCCGCAGACATCTGTATATTATTTGTATACGTATCTGCGTGCAAGTCTAGTTTCAACAATGGAAAACAATGTTCCAACAACGAGAAATGTTGTTCCAGATTTTTTAACCGTGTTTATATTTAAAATACATAATTTAAAAGAAAATGATTTAGATGAAAATGTTAAAATTAATTAAAATTTTATTAAATAAAGGCAAATGATTTGACCGACAAAAAGATTGGTGATTTAATTAAATTAAATAATTTAAATTCTGCGGATAGTTTATTGAATAATATGGTGTTTGTTAAAATTAAAAATAGATGGAGTGAGATTTTTTGGAAATGTTGTGACAATAAATGTATAAATACAGACAATCCAATTGGTAATTGTATTGAAGGAAATGGATTTGGAAATATAATTAATGATGAAAATATCAAATATATTGTGAAGAATGGAGGTAAATTATTTAGAATTTTTGAAATGTTTCTAAAAATATTTTTAGGTTATAATAGAGATTTTGCTGTTTATGCAGAAAACTCATTCAAAAAACCACAAAATTCTTCTACTTATTCTTTATATTATTTTGAAGTTAAATGTAAATTTGAAGAAGGATTAAATGGTGGCCAATCACATATGACAATTGGTCTTCGAAATTGTAGTACAACCAATTATATTTACTATTCTGCAAAATATGGTACAATTACAATATATAACGAAAGATCGTTTCAACTACCAACTTTCTCTTGGAATGATAACGATATTTTTGGTTGTGGATTAGTTTATCCTCCGAATAATATGTCGAATGAATTTCTTTACGTTTTCTTTACTCAAAATGGAAAACAAATTGGTAATTATTAAAATAATCATACAAAAATTGTTTTTTTAAAGGTAAAGGTATAAAATTAGAGGACAATTTCGATTCATATAAACCTCGTGTTTTCTTAAACTGTTGTTCACTTGAAGCTAATTTTGGAAATGATTTGGAATCAAAACCATTTGCATATGACGTCTCAGAACATTTAATACTTAAAGAATTTTTTGATTAATTTTATTTTCTTACTCGTTGTTTGATTTTAACAATATTATTTTTTCATCAATTTGATTTTTTTATTAATTACTCAACAATATTTTTATACATACTATCTTAATTACTTTATTTTTTAAGAAAATTACATTTAATTCCAAGCATAATTTACTGATTTTTGAAGAGTATGGAAGCTTCTCAATTTATATTCTATTAATCTTTTATTTTTAGAATTTTTTAAATTATTTTAGAACCTAAAAATGGTTATTTACAATCGTTGTACTGTGTGCTTTAAAAGTTTGCTTCATGAAAATAATAAAATTATTTTCGATTTCGATATTTTTGATTTCCTTCAATTCCGATTTTAAAATTCTTTTTGTTTAAAAACAGCTCTAATGCCCGCCCATTATTCCTAAACACATTATCTAAGGATTTTGGCACACGCCTACTTACTCTTTTTGACCACACCCCCTTTTTTCTTTCTTCTAACCTCATACTTTTCCTTTAATTACACACAAATTCATTTTTTTTAATTTTGATTATTTTCATTAATAAATAATGTTAACAGTAGTGTATAATAGGGGGATGTCGGGGGATTAGGAGGGAGATTAGGAGGGAGATTAGGAGGGATTAGGAGGGGATGTCGGGGAGCGGCATCCTTTGAAGCCGCTCTCTTACATCTTTTTCCTCTTTCTCTTTCCCCAACATCGTTTTTCCCCTTCTCTCTCTTTCTCCTCTACTCTTTCCGCTGCTCTTTTTTTCTCGCTCCTTCTAAAAGGAAAGTGGGAGGAGTCCAACCTTGAATTTTGAATAAATTTAATATTTAAACATTTGAATTTAGTTCACCTCAATTTTAATTTACATTTCTTTTCTTTTTCAGAATTATTTAAAATGAATATGGAATTAATCAACTTAAATGGAGGAAATAATAACAACAATGGAGACAACAATAACAATAATAGCCAAAATTATTTAAATTTAATTTGGAAGGGTACCTATTAATTTTTAATTATTTTTTAAATCTAAATTTAAGAACGAATCACATTGATCCTCTTCTTTATTTTTATTGTAGATATTCTACATTTGCTCTTCTTTGTCCATGCCCTTTTGAGCCGTTAAAAAAAGAATTTTTTAAATTTTCAAAAAAATCTCAAAAAATTATTACAATTATGTGATTTAAATTTATTTTTTTATAAAAAACAATTTTATTTATTATTTCATTTTTCTGTGAAAATAAAAAATTTTTTATTTCTTTCTTTTATTATGTTAATTAGTATAGGTAGGGGTACACAAAAATTATTAAAAGTAAACATTTATATTTTATCAACTAACAATTTTTAAACAATTTATTGGCCCAAATAAATTCGATATTTAAGGTTATAAAATGTCTAAATTTAATCCTACAAATTTCAACTGGACTGTTGAAAGTAATTGCTCCTGTGAGCTCCGATTGATATGTATTCGCCCATTAAAATTTCGGAACCCAGTCTTGTGTATTAATCCATCAATTGACGTGAACAACTTTGAAAATTTTTTAAAAAAGTCTCCAAATGAGCAACAAATTTCTTCTAACTCTCCTCTGAATAATTTTGAAAATTGTTCCACAATACAACCGATTTTTAATACAACCACCACCACTCCTGAGTATAATACAACAACTACCACTCCTCCATCTTATACTCAGTATAATTTTAGTTTTTGGATGATTTATGCTTTGCTTGGTCTTATTCTTGCTTTACAGGTTTTTTTTGTAAATTTACTCAATAAAATGTATTCATAGTTATTATACTGGCTTAATATTATTCTGCGAAAAATTCGCAGACGTCGTGAATGTAAATTAATCCGTAAAAGTGTGACTCAATTTCATGAGAAAGCTCGAGGTATTTTTTAAAAATTTAATCTAAAATTATTAATTAACTAGGAGCTCCTACACATAAAGATACTCCAATTGTTCATCGTAGAGGTAGTTTAATTTTTTAAGAGTAAGTAAATACTTCAAATTACAGGAGATCCTACTGCAGCTGTTTCAGGTCCTAATTTTTGCAGATAAAAATAGTTTTAAAAATACAAATTTATAGAGATGACTCCTTTGAAAATTTATGCTCCTACTCTTGGAGAGATGAAAAAAACACATGTGGTGACGAGTGTCTAACAGAATCTAAAGAAAAAATTGGATTAAAAATTAATATTATATATTAACACTTATCATATTGATATAAAATAATAAATTTTTACCTTTGTCTTGAATTTTATTTTTAGTTAATAAGCAACTTCCTCCTTGAGATTAACTTCCTCCAATATTGGCGCTCCTCTTTTCAATTTTAGTTAATTTATTTCTTCATGGGAGGAGCCTATTGTACCGAATATCAGAGTATTTAAGGAGCTAGTATTTTTATTTTCAATCATTCATTTAGAAAAATTTTTCATTTTTTCATGGAGCAAAAATCTTTAAACTCCCAAGTTTTACCTCAAGTCGAAATTGACATCTCATCTAGAGGTATTACACTTTCGAGCACTCGTTTCACTACTTCACGCTTTGTCCCATATGATCAAACAGGAAAGTGTTGCAAGTGTAAGGGTACAGAAGTTGAGATTGATTTTGCAATAACAAAAGACGGAGTGACTCTCTGGTGTACCAGACTTACTGAAAAACGTTTTGTTCCATTTGATTGGACTTATGAGCTGCCAGGACACTGTTTCTTTAAGATTCGAAATAGAGGAAGAGTGCTTAATGTACCCTATGGATCATCAACCAAGCCTGATAATCAAAGGTGTGGTAAAAGGAAGTTCGAGGAATTGATAACTTGTAATCCTCCTAATCATAATTTGTCTTCTAATCTTTCTACTCCCACCGCTCCTCTTGTGCGTACTCCTCCACCTGTTACATCTGAAACCCCGAGACCTCTTACGCCTCCTGATCAAATACCTTTTGACAAAGAGCTCCAACAATTCTACGATAGTTTAATGTTTGCTACTGTAGGTCTTCCTAGTTCAAACGATAATGTTGAGAAACCAATCGAAGAAAAGACAGAAAAGAAAGAAATTAAGGAGGAAGTGATTGAATAAATATTTTCCTATATAAACACATTTATTTTTCTATTTTATAATTGTAAAGTCATGGAATTACAAACATTTTCTAATAAAGATTTAAAATTTAAATTACCATTTGGTATGATTTTGTCAGGCCCCAGCTCTAGTGGGAAAAGCTCATTTTTATTAAAATTTATATCTGAAGCGTCAGAATTAATTGAACCTAAACCAAAGAGTATACTTTATTGTTTTGGAGAAATGAGTAATAATATTCCTCTCCTTCAAAAATCAGGAGTTAATGTCTATGCAGGAGTTCCACCTGAAGAGCTAATTAAAAAATTCCCAAAACCTTTACTTTTAATACTTGATGATTTACTCCTTTCCATAGATGAAAAATATCTTTCGGAGCTATTTACAAAAAAATCTCACCACCAGAATTTTGCAATAATTTTTGTAACTCAAAATCTCTTCGATAAAAAAATTAAGGTCGCCCGCCAAAATGCTCAATATATTATACTTATGCGCTCTCCAAATTCTGCTCTTTCTATTAGAAATATTGGAGTGCAACTATTTCCCCGTCAACTCGATTATTTTTTAGATGCGTATAAACAAGCTACTAATATACCTTATGGATACTTACTTATCGATTTGCATGCCTCATCTGATCCTAATTTAAGACTTAGGACAAACATATTTAAGGACGACGAAGAGAAAATAATTTTTATTTCGAAATAAATTTTCATTCTAAAAAATGGTCAGTCAATTAGTTTGTGAAAATAAGGACTTTTTACGTTTGCTAGCTCATACAAAATCTAAAAGAAAAACTAAGAGGATCCTAAGACATGCAACAATAAATCAATTATTAGCAATCGTCGAAATTTGTCTAAATATTTTAAAATCACGTTTTAAACTTACTACTCGACAGAAAAACCGTTTAATCCCACACGTTGATTTTATTCGTCACATGAGCCGTACTAGGAGTGAAAGAGGAGCAAGAAAAGTTTTAAGACAAAAAGGTGGAGGAGGAGCAAGTGTTTTTGCAGCTCTTCTCACACCTGTTCTTATAGAACTGGCACGCTCTATTATATAAAAGTAAATGGTATATAAACTCAAATACTTATTAAAATTATTTCAAAACATGGCTAACAAATTAATTCTAGTGCCCGAAGAAATTTATAGAGGACTTACTTCATCTAATTTTGGTGAACCAAATTTAGATTTTACCAAAAAAGAAGTTGAGAAAGCTAAAAGAAAAAAGAACACCTTTCAGATAAAAATATACATTACAACCAAGAGTTAAGACGTTATTTGCAACTGAGAAATGAAAGTGCGAATAGACCTGTCAAAGTTCAAATGGTTGCTAATCCTAAAGGAGCAATTATGAATAGAGATGTTATTAGACCCGCAACAAATATTACAGACGATAACGATGATTTATGGATGAGCGATGATTTTTCCTATTCTGCATACCCACAAGAGCCACCTGCCTTATCATATAATATTGTTCCTCCTTTACCAAATTCTCCAAACGAACAAGTAGAACCCAAAGGTCGGCATAGAAAATTATTAAGGAGCGGAATTTCCCCCACTCCTCCTACACTTAGACAAAAAATCAAGAGAAAAATTGAGGAGGATGATTATGGACAAAATAAGAGACGACATTTGAGTAATTACAAAAATGAGAGAAGAGATGAGTATATGAAACTTTCTGAAAAGGCTAGGAGTAGAAAGCAAAATTTAGAAAGGAAAAAGATGTTGAAAAATTGGAGAATTCCTTATACCCCTGAATATAATGCTCATGTTGATGATGATTTTCCTCCATCTCCTCCCATCCCAACTATTCCTGAAGGTCTTGATGCTCCCCTTGTATCTGACTCTCCTCCAACTAGACAAATTACAAAAAGGGGACAGTCAGAAGAGTTTGAAGGTACAAAGAGATGGAAGAAAGGATATGATGAACACCACGAAGCAAAATTAAAACGTGAACAGAAAAGAAAGGAATATTTAGAAAGAAAATTAAATATTAGAGGGCAAAGGGTTCCAATTGATCAATCAGCGCTAGTTAAAACTCGTAAGGACGATGATATTCAAAGACGACTAAAATTAAAAAGAAAATGGGAAGGTCCTGACGAAAGTCCTCTAATTGCCCTGAAAAAAGTAAAACCTGTCACAAAAATTCAATCAGCAAAAGCAGGTAGAGAATGGATGTTAAGACTTATAAAAGCTAAACGTAAAGAAGCTGGTATAAAAAGATTTAAACCAACGCTTTGGTAAAAATGGCCGACCCCACCCAGCTATTAAATCGACTTTACAATAACCCAGATTCACCTGCTGCCTTTTCTGGAGTTGATAGGTTATGGCATGAAGCACGTAAAATTCTCAAATACTTACCTAGAAAAGTTGTACAAGACTATTTGGAGGGGCATAGGACATATACACTTATGCGTCCAAAAAGAATACATTTTTTTAGAAGTAAAACTGTAGCTGCAGGTTTTATGACAGATGTGCAAGTAGATTTGGCAGACATGCAGGCTCTCTCTAGACATAACAAAGGAAATAAGTATATTCTCCTAGGAGTTGATGTTCTCTCCAAACGACTCTTTGGCGTCCCAGTTAAATCAAAGGGTTCAAAGGATATGTTAGAGGCATTTAAACAACTAATTGGTCAAATGCCTATGAAACCTCATAGGATATTCTCCGACAAAGGGTTAGAATTCAAAAATAAAACTGTCAAGGAATATTTTGCTCAAGAGGAGATTCAAAAATTAGAGGCTACTCATTCAACTGTTAAAGCTGCAGTAGCTGAAAGAGCCATAAGAAATGTAAAGCAACGACTTTACAGATACTTTGCTCAAAATAAGTCACTTAATTGGGTTGATATTCTGGAAAAAATTTTAGCTGGAATAAATAAGTCAAAGAGTAGAGTGCATGGACTAAGACCTATAGATATTGACTTTTCCAATGCCCAGGAAGTGTGGGAGAGAATGTACGGTAATGAGATTTCAAAGAAAAGAAAGTCAAAATTGAAAGAAGGAGATTTTGTTCGCCTATCTATTGGAAAGAGTGCTTTCGAAAAAGGATATATTCCAAATTGGGGAGACCAAATTGTGCGAGTGGATAAAGTTCAAGACCAATTTTATCCTGTCCGATATAAAATTGCTAATGATTCTGGAGATAAATTTAAAGGGTATTACTACCGAGAGGAGTTGGCACGTGTGAAAAAAGATGCAGATACAGAGTATAGAATAGAGAAGGTTATAAGAAAGAAAAAGAGAGCAGATGGTACATATGATATTTTAGTAAAATTCATAGGTTATCCCGAAAGGGAATGGATCCACGAAACCCAACTTGTATAAAAGAGGGTTCATTTCATTGTATTTACCTCATTTGAATAAAAATGTCAAATAGTTTTTATGTTTGTTTGTTGAGCAATGTGTCTGATTATCCGGATAATCAACCGAATAAATTCAGGGTCCACTTACCTAAACCCCTTTATTTCTCTGGTGATTGGGTATGTGGTGTCCATAGTATCAGTTATCCATATTCATGGTCATCAACTATTGGTACACTTGACGAGCAATGGATTGATATTAATTTTACAGATAATAATAAGAAGGGACAAACTATACGAATTCCAGTCCCAAAAGGGTCACATAATACACCTGAAGAAATTTTACAATTTTTGATTTCAACTTTGAGACATCAAAGTTTAGCTCTTGATAACACAGCTCTTGAAGAGTCATCTGAAGGGTTCTTTGATAAACCAACGATTATTAATAGGAGAAATAAACGCCAAAATGAAGAACTGAAAGACCTCACACCATATAATGAAAATGAGGAAGAGAATGAATCCTTAAGGTCTCTCTCTCCTTATCAGGAGGATGTCGAAGAAACATCACCACCACAAAAGGATAAAATTAATTTAACTAAACAACCAGAGAAGGAAAAAGAGGAAGAAAATAAAAATGCGGATGATAAGGAAAAAGAAGAGGAGCAGAAAAAGGTGTTGGAAAAAGTGGAGGAAAAGAAAAAGGAGCAACCAAAGGAGGAGCAAAAAAAGAAGGAGGAACGGAAAAAGGAAGAGTCAAAAGTGGAGGAAAAGAAAAAGGAAGATAAAGTTGGAAAAGAACAGCCAAAAGTGGAAAAGAAAAAAGAGGCTGAGAAGGAAAAAGTGATAGAAAAGAAAAAGGATGATGAAAAGTCAAAAGTGGAGGAAAAAGAGAAGCCAAAAGAGGAACATAAAAAGGAGCAAGAAAATGTTTTGAGTGTTTTAGGAGTAGGAAAGAAAAAAGAAGAGAAACCAGTGGAGAAACCGAAAGACTCATCTGTTCTAAGTACCTTAGGAGTTGGAAATAAAGAAGAGAAACCGAAGGATGTGCTAAATGCAATAGGACTGGGAACGAAAGAAGAGAAAAAGGAAGTTCTGAGAGAACTTTCTCCATACAAGGAAGAAGAGCCATTACCACCACCTCCTAAGAAGGAAAGAAAAGAGCAATCAAATGATACTAGAGTAAAAGATAATAGTACACAGACACCGAGTGTTTTAAGTGCCTTAGGATTAGAAAGAAAAGAATCATGGACTCAAACACCATCACCACTATTAGAAACTATTGGGTTAAAACCTAAAGAAGGAAAAAATGATGTTTTTGATATATTGCTTGGAAAAGAGAGTAAGAAAACGTCATATACAGCTACTCAGTTAAAACAAATTATTGATTCAATATCGATTAATTATCTCGCTGACTTTAAGAGATTTAAATTATCCTTTACTGATTCCAATATCAAATATGTATCATTTTCGCCCCAATTAGGATATGTTCTTGGTTTTGCAAATTCACAAAATGTACAAAATAATGAAATTGCAAAATATGCTTATGATTTAAGAGGAGGCTTTTCAAGTTTTGCAATTTATGCAAAGGGACTTACTGAAAATATGATCGTTGGAAATTCTCTAAGTTCTCTACTCCGAATTGTTTCTGTCTCAGGAGCAATACCTGGAGAGTACCACGAGAAAATTTATGATTCTCCCATCTATG